TCAAAACAGAGGTCATTTACATATGTCAGTCTTACAGGCATGGTAACAAAAACAGCTTGTTTAACTGTGAGGGCTAAAAAAAGGATTAATTATGACTGATTTTGGTACACAAGGGTTAAATCAGAATAGGGGCAAAAAGACCAGAATGAGACCTCCCTGCTTATTAGACTGCATGAACGCTTGTAAATCATGAGAAGACTTTGATCCAGTGTATCCTGAGATACAAAAAAAGTGAAATAATGCAGTAATGATATGAAAACTATATATGGTGAAGCCAAATGCCTTAGTATAAAGAAGCTGATGTGTTGAGGTCAAGTTTTTAGCTAGGTGGTTATCTATTCATGTCACACTTGATGAAGAAACCTTCTGCGTTTCAGTGCCAGAACATATTTCTGTGAGAATCCCGGGACATTTTGTTTCATTGACTTCTTTCCCCTCCAGGTCAGGCTTTTCTTGTCCGGCGCTTACGCAGATCACTGGAGTTTATTTAGCCAGTCTCTTGATCTGCTGCTCTGTCTTTGCTGCACAAGTATGTGTGCATGTTTGTGTGTTTGCACACTGACCGCTGCACCGACAGACTTTAAATAACTGCCGTGAGAATGGAGCTACAGTGCAGTTGGCGTTTTCAGCTCTCGCAGGAATAGATGCCCTCACTTGCTGTCAGAGTGTCGTAAAATAGAAGTTTAAGTATCATTTTAGTGGGATGTTTTTGGAGTACCTTTTGTTGGGCATGTTTGGCATTAAGAATCTCCATTAAATTAGCCATTACTTGGAGTTCGATGGATGATGACGTTCGCCATCCTCAACCACCTCTATGGTGTCAGTCAAAAGCTTCTACACAGCTACTCATAGAATGCTGTCCTTTATTCCCAATGTTTTCCATTTTGATAATAGTAGACAAGCCTGTTTGGATCCTCTCTTTCTAACAGCTGATTGGCTTAAATTCATTAACAAGGACTGACATTCCACTAATTAAGTCTTAATGAGGCACATGTGGTACTTAGCAATAAACATTTAGGTTTAACAAATCTAATTTTCACAAATGGTCTAAATGACAGCTACTTATTTGGGCCATAAACAAAGTATTTTGCAACTTTTTAAAAAATATTTCTACACAGACCTCAACTGCACTATTTCTGTTTGTCTAGAAACAAATTTCAAGCATTAAGCGTAAGCCTTCAGATTAAAATGTCTTTAGGATTATGAAAAACAGAAATTTAATCATGTTTGTGAAAATATTTGACTATAACTGTACAACAGAGGTACTAAAATCCACATTCCGGTCCTGGATTTCGGAATCACTAGTGGGTATGACACGAGGAGGCTGATCGCTCATGTCAGGGCTGATTACTACCAGTGATTATGGTTAAGGTCCGGATTTGAAGGCCTCGGCTGTAGAACATCTCCAACACTTGTAGCGACACCAGAAATGTCCATTGTGTTTTGAGAGTGGAAATCATATGTTTGTTTGGTCCTACCTAGAGATGGCTGGACATCACGTTTTCTTTTCCAATATGGATGCAGATTTGATATATTTGATTTGAAGACTTTCAAGCTTTAAAATGAGCTTTTTTTAAAAAAAAGCAGTTAATGCACTTAAGGGTATTTTGGTCGAAGTATTTCAGGCGAGTGCTATTTCTAGATTTGTAACAGGACTGAATTGGATTCGTTCTTTTTTTTTCTCCTGATGTCCGTTCCAGTCTGCCATCTCTAGCATTCGCTTAGTTGTCACTCAGTCTAAACTTTTGCCTGCTACTGTAGAACATCTCCATTTGTAAACACCTACAGGGACTAGAGGTGAGTTTCAGAACCTTTGAATACTTTGAGCATGATGGCCTACTTTTAGATGGTGTATATATATATATATATGTATGTGTGTGTGCGTGTGTGTGTGTGTGTGTGTGTGTGTGTGTGTGTGTAATAAACATACAAATATATCTCGCTGCTATCGAAACAAAACCTTGTATTTCCACTTGTCGTTTCCCAGTTTTTGACCTAATTTGAAAGAACCCATTGCCCTTTATACTGTGTGTTGGTCCATTCATCATGAAATTCACACAAACAGCCCAAAAGGACTTGGAAAAAAGTCTGGTTCCATTGACTCACATTAAAAGTAAAGTATATTTTTTCCTTCCTAAAAAGTTGTCTTTGGCTTGCAACCCTAGTAACGGCATAAACTGCAACCCAGGCTGAGCAATGTGGCAAAAATATCCGATGATACCTTAAGATATTTCACAATGCACCATATGAATCACGATATTTTAACGATATTCTACTCATAGTGCCACATTTAAAAGCTAACTTCAAAAACTTCCCTAAATCCAGTTAAACGGGTGTAATTATTCTCCCTTTGTAAATATCCTGCAGTCAGTCAGTGTTCTTTAAATGCTGATGGTATCCCACAACGCTCAGACAAGCACATTGTTATCATAATAACACTTTTTTTACAATAAGGAGAAATTTTTGCCATATTATCCACCTCTACTCCAGCATTTTATTGTACAGATTTTTTTCTATGTTAAATAGTTGTTTGCAAATGTTGAATCAAATCATGTCATTATATTTAGACTTTTTCCATAGCCTTTTTAAATATGGCATCACTCTTTTGCTGGACTGAATTTCATCCATTCTGACTTATCATGAAATACTATGGTACATGTTGTCTGTGGTGAAGATCAGGTTATATTTTAGCCATATCCCCCCCCAAAGTCCTCACTGTACCAGATGAGAGCTGTTATCTGTAGCGCAGGCTGACAGACAGCTCTCTGCACACCCACAGCTTACTTTCATAATGACTGCAAAACGTACACACACGCTAACACACGTTATATATATATATATCTTCCCACTGAAGTGCAGAGCTCAGAGAAGACCTTGCAGCTCTAACCACTGGCCCAGTTGCGGTGGGTCCTGCTGACTGCTAGTGGTCTCAGTATGCTTTTAATGTTTTCCTGAGTGCAGACTAAATAAAAAGCATTTAAAGGCAATAAACGTAACAGAAATATATAAATGAGACAGAATGTACAGTATGTTGGTGCGAGGATGTTTAAGGCCAACACATTTGAAGACATTTTCACACACACGGTATTTTAATTCAGCTTTTCTTATACCCGGCAGTAGGTATGCACCAACTGTAACTGTGGGCCGAAAGATGATATACAATATTGTTTCTTTACCAATCTGCCGATGCTGATGCATAAAAAATTATTAAAAATATATAGAAACTGGGACTAGATTCACCTGGATTGGCATTACAGACAAACACAACATTTATTTCAGAGTTAGAAATGCAGTAAAATGAATAAAATGCAGAGGTTTTAGCAGAGTGACCAGCGTCATCCAAACATTCTGCTCATCCAGAATACAATAAATTATCTCTGTAATAAATCATCTACATTTTTGCCATTTTTTATTTTTCTACGTCATGGGAACTTTTAAAATTTCATAATGAATGGGCCAATAGAAATGCTTCAAAATCACTTTCAATAAAACCTCTTTTCTTTAACTTACATTAAAGGCTAAGAACCTTTTTGCCTTCTCTTGTGAAGTTACACCTTTGAAGATGCATGTTTTGTCTTTGGGCGGCAATTTTTTTAAGCAGTTATCTGCCAATATCAATATGACTATATATCACTGTGTCCCTGCTCTACACTAACTACACTGCACTAACAAATGGGGTTAATAATGCTGTCTCGGTGGAAGTGCTGACTGTACCCCCAGTATGGGCAGAAAATTTTATTGTGACACATTTTATTGTGATAACGATATATCATAATATTGCCCACCCCTACTGACAACTTCTTACATATAATTTGAATGGTGTTGAGTTGAGGTTATGTTGAGTCAGCGGATATGAGGGATCAAAAGTGTAGTGCGTTCGGTGCATAATTTTTGTTTCTCAGTTTGTTACTTCTTTATTTTGTATTCATAAAAATGCACAAAGAAGCTTAATTAAAATGAATGGGGGAATATGAAAATATCCAGTAGAAGTACAAAAACTGTATTAAAATTGGATACTACTTTACCTTTATGAAAATAATGTACAGGACATATATAATATACAGGACTGGACAAGCTGCAAAATGTTGCTGGCTTTGGCTCAGATAGCCTGGCATGCTTCAAAATTCATAATATCAAAAGACCAGGATTCAAAACTGAATTTTAATTGGCTGTTTAAACCAATTTTGCTGTTAACATAGGAAAGTATTTGAATATCCCAACAATTAAATATGCTGCTGTGATCTGTTGGTTTAGTGATTTATGCTTGTGTTTTAGGAATACAGTTGTGTGCAAAAGTTTGTACACCCTCAAATTACATATTTTGTTGATTTTTCCAAGTGAAATTATACAACATCTGCAGAGATTGTGTAAATTGTAATACACAATTCCAGTTTATTTGCTGAATTTAACATATCGGGGATGGGGGGTGATAAAATGTCAAAAAAAAAAAGTTACATTTTAAATTGTGTCTTATTTTTTATATTGTATATATTTTATATTCTTTCCAATCTGTTAAACTCAGCAAACGAAAAAAAAAGAAACCTGTGAGCTGAAATTTGTATTAAGTTTGTAGAGGATGTTTTAACTTATTTTCACTTAGAAAATCAACAAAACATCTGATTTGGCCAGGCGTGTTAACACTGTTCACACTCTGCAGTGACCTGCAGAGCAATAACTTGCAGAACTTACACAGCACAAATCTGTCGTCTTTGTTTGAAACATTTCCGTTTAGATGTCTGCTTTGACATTTGTCGTTTAACTATGACGTGATCAGCCGCTCGTTTCAAAACATTCTCTCAAACGTTCAGCCCCAAACTGTCCAGATAATGCCTTATCAGATTACCTGGTTAAGTAAACTAATACTAACATCTGTTTGGATATTCATATGTTTGTATAGCCACGCCCATCATCTCGAGAGCTGAGTTGGTCATCTCATTCTATGTGCAGACTGACCAAGAGAACTTATCTCTGACCTACATGCTCTGTGTCTCTTTTTGCAGCTCAGTGTTTGTGCCGTGCCGTGAAATGACCGAAGTGATGATCAGCGGTACTCAGATGGAGGACATGCGGCTCAGCCCCAGCAAAGACTGCCTGCCCTTCCAGGTACTGCATGACCTCTGCTCCACATTACAGCAGCACAAAAATAACAAAAACACTCAACGACTCGGAGCTTTTAGACTTCAGAGCTTTTAAGAAACAGCTCACTGCTTTCAAGGCTCAGTCATTTTGAGAAGCCCTGGGCCATCGTTTCCACTGTGGGCTTCCTTTCAGAACACAGCTTTGCTTTCAGCTTTTCCAAAATAAGGTCAAAATAGCTCCTCTGATTTAAAAGAAACTGCAGATGTAGCTTTTTTTTTTTTGCTCTTTTGTTTTTTGTGCTCTAAATTTGGGTTGCAAATTAGGCATGTTAGACTGTATTTTCAGGGCTTGTGACTGCAGATACTGTGTGATTTGTATGTGTGCTTCAATTGAGTTTGTGTGCATATTAAGGATGAGCAAATGTCAGGTTAAAACTAAACTAGACATAGATCATTAATTTATTAATTTTACATAGCTATGACAACAAAATCATACAATTGTTTTGTTTTTTGAAGTATTATTGTTAATGTTTACGGTAGGCCTTCTTTGTGGCATTCACTCAGTGAGTATTATTCTCAAGGACTCTTATTGTGGGGTCAATCTGTTATTGAGTGCGTTTACATGCACTCAATAATCCGATCATAATTGGATTTCTGTAGTTACCCTATAATTCAAATGGTCATGTCAACAACATACTCTGATCCAGAAATCTGATTAAGGAATCTGATAAAGAGGCTGGATTTTAGCTAAGCAATCAGATTCCTCAGTGCATGTAAACTCTTACTCTGATTTCTTTCGGATTTCTCAGTCTGTGCATGTGTGAAAACAGACGGCGGTACCAGAAATAAGCAAGCAGCGTCGCCGCGAGACGCAGCAAAACACTTTTGGAGTGATGCTGAAACCAAACATGAAATAAAGGATTTAAATATTTTTCATCTTTTACATGAAGTATGTTCATATTTTCAGCTAAAGTGGTGCAATGTTTGAAAAAAAGCTTGAGTTTTACGTTAGGTTTACGTCACGTCTTCTGCTGTGAGTTTATTGGTTGGTTGCAAAGCTGAAACCTGATTACTGTCTGACTCATGTAGACCCGGAGTTTACCATCTGATTACCCAAGTGCATGTAAGCACGTTGACCGGATTACTGACAAAATCTGATTTTCTGCAGTTATCGGATTATTACGTGCATGTAAACGCACTCATTGTTGAGGCCAAGGACTGTCTCTATTGTGGCATTCACAATACTAGCGGTCAGCGAGAGTAGCCGGTTGCAGTTGATGGAGGAGTTGAGAAGAAAGCTGTCAAGCCGGACAGTTTTACCGGCAGCTCTCGTGGTGTTCACATATCAGATATAAAAATGCAGTCAAGAATATGAATTTGAATATCACACGAAAATAATAAACACAAACACTATGTGTTTTAATAGGCTACTTCCTGTATTCATCACAACTTGTCTATATGGTTGTCGGCTGAGCCTCTAGCCAATGAGGATTAAGTTCTGTTGTCATGAAACCGTCTCTCAGCTCGTGCAGCTGGGTAAAAACTGCTTATTAGAACCACTTATTTTATACATTACAACGTGCTGGTAGTGCTGGTGCAAGTCAGACAAACAAAACCTTACTAAGCCAGGTGGTGATCGGTCTACACTGCACCAATAGTCAAACAAGACTATTGTTGCATCCAAGGACTTTTATTGTGGCATTTATTTGGTGATCGCTGTGCCCAGAGACTCTTATTGTGGCATTCCCTCAGTCATATTTGTGCTTGCTTGTTGGTCAAATTGATCCCCCTTCACTCACGTGTGTATTTTAATTTTTATATATTTTTTTCACCTATAATAATAATAATAATAATAATATTAAATGAACATGCGTGTCATTCATTGAGCAGGCCTGAATATACCAGTGCCGGTTGTTTTTGTAATAGCCTATAACTGTTTAAGCCAAGCTAGTAACCTTTAATACAGCAAATTTACGTTATTAAATTTACTTATTAACGTGTCAACATACACCGGGTGAGGTCGAGAGTAAAGCCCCTTAAAATGAGTCCTGTCACATGGACGTAGTTTGAATATGTACATGTGCTTGTTTATAGCTTTTATAATGAATAACATTAGCGAGCAGCTAATTAGCCAAAAGCCTAATTTACAATTCAGTTATTTCTGTTTTTCTGTGACTGTTTGAAAACTCCGAGGTTTGGACTCGTCCCCAGTGTGAGGTTGCGTGCTTCTTTGCGAGCGGCCCTTGCTCATAACTCATTAGCATATTACCCAGACTGCTCTTTAACTTATCTCACAGACTGCTTTTCCATCTCTGAGTGGTCCCGGGGAAGAACGTGGAGAGGCTGGGTGGCCTGTACTTCCAGCTGAGCTCCTCTGGGATCTTTTTTCTTTTTCTTTTTTTAGCCCTCCGCTCCCTCGTTCCTTTTCCGCACTTGCTTCATTCCAGGGGTTTGTTTTGCTAACCCCTCCGCAATAAGTTCTGCTGGACCGAGATACGCAAACAAGAATATTTCAGGCTCTCGAAGGAGAGCTATTTAAAGACGCAGACTGTGTGTGTGTTCTGTCCCTTTTATTGCTGTTGAGCTGAGGTTAATCGACAGGCCCGAAAGGACAGATCTAAGGAACTGAAAATGTTGTACAGTTTTGGTAAAATTCACAGCTGTTTCTTGGATATGGATTTGTGAAGATGAATAAGTTCTTCAGTGAATTTCCTTTGCAGTTAGTCCAGTCAGCCCTGCAGTCTAGTCTGAAGTAGTAGGTGTACTTGAACTAGCACAGGAGTCGACAACGTTTGGCTCTTTTACTGCCCTGTTGCGGCTCCACCACAGAATCAGATATGTAGGCAAAAATAAAATAATCCTCCTCTGCAGTAAAATAAAGCTCTGCTGATCTTTCTAACAGTTTTAGCAATAAATGGTCTTAAATGCTGGAGTTAAAGTATACCTGCTAATTCACCCTTTAACACTGAAGATTGATGCATAGACTGCTGGTCACCATAGCAACACAGACAAAGTAGTTGCTAACGAAAAGGCAAAGAGAAAGATTTAAGACAAACTGATCATTTGGAGATGAATGGATGTATTTGCATATATAATCACTCCAGCTGGTTTCCTGATACATTTAATCTGCAGCAACAAACTGTCAAACACTAAAAAATCATGAAGATAAAGTCGATTCTCATTCGCCAGCTTCTTGTTCGAATTGTCCCGTCCCACCTTAGATGTTGCAGCAGTTACATTCTGGAGCATCAGGCACCATTTAAGGTGGAACGGGAAAATTTGAACAAGAAGCTGGCGAATGAGAAGCGACTTCAGCCTCGTAAAAAGTCCAACGTTGAGAGACATTTTACAAGAAACTATTCCACTGTTGGGGAAAAGTTTCCTGCCAGAGATAAAAGAGTGGCTATAGCTGAGCTGTGTAAGTCTGTTTTTGTTTATACTAGTTGTTAAAATGAACGTAAAAAGGTGGTTTGATTTTTGTTGAAAGGACAAAATGGCTCTTCTCAACATTTGGGTTGCTGACCCCTGGACTAACAGTTAACAAGACCAGGCCAAATGACTATTAAGTAGAATTTACTCATTTTCAGGAGATATTTATGAGGAGATTAGATATAAAGTAATGTACTTGCATAAGGAAGGAGAGAGTCAAGAGAAAATAAGTGGTGGAAAAAGTCCTAACAACCACCTGGTAGACACCAAAACTGCCCCCATCAGATAAACAGCACTTAAAGCTTTCATCTCTGAGAGAGAGGAGAAAATCAAGCTGCTTCAGATCTGAAAACGTTCACATCCATCCTTCCACTGTGAGATGACGACTCAGCGCTGTGGGTCTGAAAGGATGTGTAGCTGATCAAGAAGAACCTCACTGAGAAAAGGAGACGGACACATCAAACAAAAGCTGAACAATGGACTGACCACATCATAGTCCAGACCTTAACGTCACTGAATGTGTTTGATTACTTCAGAAAATGATCAACCAGCTTGTATTTAAAATGTATTTAAAAATGATATATTTAGATTTTTTTTTATTTGTTAGGCAGCTTGAGAGTAAGAGGAAGAGCTTTATTCAACAGTTTTTCTAAGAATTTCAGCTTCAGTGATGGTGACAGTCAAATGTGAGTTGTGGTGCATTGTTAAGTCAGTGCATGTAAATCCTAGGGGTTTCGTAACGGATATACGCCGCAGATCTGCACGTCACACAGACTACAGACTGTTTATCATCTGCCGTCTTTGTTAGCAGAGTTCATTCTTCTTATAGCGTTTTGTTTTTTAATTATGTGTCATATCTCACACAAACACTGTGTCCTTGGTGGGCTCTATTTTTGGACGTCCTCCTGCAGTCTTCCTTTCCAGCCTCATGCCTCCTTGCAGCTTTTAGCCGCTAACACCACAGCTGCGTCTGTGCCTCTCTGAGTCTGTTTGGGGGATTTGGATTTATCAGCTTTTACTGCTCGCTGTGCCAGACTGACACACACTGCAGCTCTCTCTCTCTCTCTCTCTCTCTCTCTCTCTCTCTCTCTCTGTGCTGTATTTGTGCTCAGATTTGAGGAATCTGATCTGTTTGATCAGATTTCCTTATCAGGACAAATAAAATTTGAGGAGGGTTTTGTTTTGTTTTTCTTTCTTCCCAGCCTTGAGTGTCTAGAATTTTCTTTCTTCCTTTTAGTTTTTGTCCTCTGTCTCTCTCTCTCTCTCTCTCTCTCTCTCTTCCCCCCCTCTACTTCTCTCTCCTTCCCTGTCTTTCTGTAGCTGTCTTTCTCTCCCTCTTTTTCTCTCTCTCTTTCTCTTTCCCTTTCCCTCTCTTTTTCTTTTTTCTTCTTCTCCCCCCCTCTTCCCCACCCTCTCGCTCTCTCTTTCTCTCTTTCTCTATCCCCCCTTCCTCACCCCTCTCTCCCTTTGTCTCTTCCTCTTTCCCTCTCTTTCTCTCCCTCACCCCCCTTCCCCCCACCCCATCTTTCTCTCTCTCCTGTTTTCTCTCTCCTTCTCTCTCTCTGTCTCTTCCCCCTCCCTCTCCCCTCTCTCCCTTTCTGTCTCTTCCTCTTTCCCTCTCTCTCCCTCTCCTTCTCTCCCTCCCTCACCCCCTCCCTCTCTCCCCCTCCCTGTCTCTCTTCATATGTATCTGTGTGTGTGTCTCTCTCTCTCTCTCTCTCTCTCTCCCCCTCCCCACCCCTCTCTCCCTTTCTGTCTCTTCCTCTTTCCCTCTCTCTCTCTCTCTCTCTCTCTCTCTCTCTCTCTCTCTCTCTCTCTCTCTCTCTCTTCCTCTCCCTCACCCCTCTCTCCCTTTATGTCTCTCCCTCTTTCCCTCTCTCTGTCTCTCCCTCTCACCCCCCCACCCTTTAGGCCTCTCTCCCAGACTCTGTTATCGCTTTACTTTCTCTGTCACTGAAACATGCAGAGCTAAAAATATTCAGTTTCATCCACGTCTCAGGCAAAATGTGGCTTCTGGACAGAGACTGGCTGTTGGGCATTATTCTCTTCCTCAGGCCAGCAACAAGAAAACATAAGCAGAGAGACAGACAGACAAAAAGAGAAAGAGTGGAAGGACTGTGTGTGGGTCTGGCTGTGTTTGAGTGAGAGATGTGGTCATCTGTGTCCTTCCTTGAATGCTGGTTGTGCCATACCTGGTCTGAGGCAATTCTCTCTCTCTCTCTCTCTCTCTCTCTCTCTCTCTCTCTCTCTCTCTCTCTCTCTCTCTCTCTCTCACACACTCACACACTCACACACACACACACACACACACACACACACACACAAATGCAGCCTCATTACTTTTTCTATTAAATGGCTCATGTAACTTCAGTGTAGTGTTAGGATTAATTCATTCTTTATGTAGTACAAAATCCAAACATTATTTGGTCTCATATCAGTACTTTCTGTACTGTTTTTAATCATACATCACTGTTCAAAAGTTTGGAATCACTGTTTCCACCAATATAAAGGCATCTTAGTTGCAGATATGTGTATAGAATCATTCTAATTTTTTCATCCTGTGCAACTTCACCGGTTTCAGATAATTAGTAGGACGCTGGGCAGCTCTAAATAAAAATGATTTCAGTTCAGATGCGTCCAGAATGACAAAGGCCTGTAGCCGATCAGCCAAGACATGTTTGCTGTCTGAAGTTTGTTTCTTTAGTTTTGCACTGGAGCTACAAGGCTAATGAAGCTAATAAGTAATAAAAGCTAATATCCCACCAGTTAGCATCATGCTAACTGCATAGATTGTCATATCCTGTCTGAAACCTGTGTGGAGTTGTTAAGTAATCTTAGGGCAGTCGTGGGCTGGAGGTTAGGGAACCAGCCTTGTGACCAGAAGGTCACCAGCTCGATCCCCTGAGCCGACCCCTGAAGTGCCCTTGAGCAAAGCACCTAACCCCCAGCTGCTCCCTGGGCACCGTGGATAGGGCTGCCCACCATGCTAATTTTAGAGTATTCCATTACTTGTTAGCCACATTAGCCTCTAAGCAAACCTCAGACACCAAACGTGTCTTGGCGTTTGCCGAACTATTCATAGAAGATTCAGACCCAAACAAATAAACTAAACCTCTTTCTTGCTCTCTTCCCTCCAGATCTTTCCGGATCCTTCGGATTTCGAGCGCTGCTGCAAACTGAAGGACCGCCTGCCGTCCATCGTGGTGGAGCCCACGGACGGAGAGGTGGAGAGCGGAGAGCTGCGCTGGCCTCCGGAGGAGTTCATCGTCAGCGAGGAGGACGAGGATGAGGATGAAGAGGAAGAGGAAGAGAGCAATGGGAAGGCACAGATGGGACAAGTGCAAAATTCTCAGCACTAGAAAGGACTGAAGTGACTTTTTTTTCCTCACACAAATACACACACATCCTGGTTTGTATTCATCTGAAATCTCAAAGGATCATTTCAAAAGTCCTGGTTTTCTCCCTTTCCACCCTGATCTAAAACCTGGTGCTAAATTGAAGGACAAACGAGCGCTCCTACTTTGAGATGATATATGAATATGGCCCATTTGCTCACTAAACATGACAAAACCCACATTGCATGTTTCCTCAGAACCTCAATATGTACCCCCTGATCCCCCGTTGTTTACATACTGACAAACCTTCTTGTTCGTCTTTGTTCTCAACTCATAAATACATGTACAGCTCTGCATATGCATATAAGTGACTGAGGAGGCCTTTGGTTCCTGATCTTTTGTAGACTTTTCTGTCCAGTCCTGTCATTTGTTGGCCACTCAGAACCATCAGAGAAACCAAGAAAGCCATGTTTGGCCCACCTGCGATTCAATGGATTCATTGGAACCAGTGTGTCTTTTTTCTTTCTTTCTTTTTTTTCTTTTCTTCATTGGTTGAAGTGTTATGATGCTGGCTAGATTGGGTCTAGCATTGATGGCCTGTGGAATGTGATGAATTTCAGACAAGCAAAAGAAAGTATGAGTGCTGGAAAGATGAGCACTGGTGGGATCGCTCAATCTGAGTTTGCATCACTTGAAAGCCAATCGGAGTGTTTATAGGGGGCATATTTGCATAGGCATGCTTAGAATCGAAGCTGTAGATCGTGTTGGATCAGTCATTTCAGTCATTTTACTTGGTCTGGGTTAGCCTAGCCTGGGCCAGACATGATCTCATGATGAGAATTACGCATCTGGGGACAACTTGTTAAAATTTTGGTGTGACAAAATCTGCCGCAAAGAAGGGTACACCCACTCTGACACATCAGGCTCTTTTTGATGTCCTTTCAATCAATACATGCAAAACCAGCTAGCTGGGAAATGCAATTGGTGGCCAATGGAACCACTTTGTCTTGCCTATAATGTATTGTTTGCACACACATCACATCTCTTATACTATAATTGTTTATGGGGGACTTTTTAGCCTTGCAAGCTTGCATTACTGTCATGGACTAACGGCAGGCTTGGTGTTGGGCAGTGGTGCACTGGTCAACACTGGTCAACACTGTCCAACACTTCGATATCCACCTTCACGTGGTGTTTTAATTGGTTTAGAACCCACATTTGGTTTAGAACACACATCTCCTGGTTGTCCCCAGATGCTATTCCATTCGTATTCTCGCTATCCTTTTTCCTTTCTTTGGAACTATTTCACTCTCCATCTAATACTGTATGTAAATAGTATTTGTATGCAGACATAATCTATTTCACTGTGAATATCCACAAATTATCGTGTGTCTTTGTACATACCAGTTTTCTTGTCCGGTAGCGGTTGAGTGGCGGTTCAATTAGACACATGGAGGTAAATAATAAAATTAATGCCATTTTTTTCATCAAAACGCTTCCTTTTCTCTACAGTCATTTCTTTATGGGAGGTGATTCTGAGACATTAGCCGACCTGTATTTCTCCAGACATTGATTTGAGTCTTCCTGCTTCCACTGGGGTGTCAGGAGGGGGTTATTTTATGCACACTGAGAACCTACCTGGCCCGGCCTTTCTTTTTTTCCTCAAGCCATCCTAATCCCTCAGTGGAAAGGTCCTGAAGGGTCACCTTGGCACTGAGAGCACCTTGTATATTGACACATTGAGACGGGACATCTAGCCTTTTTTTTGCATTTTTGTTTCTTTTTGTTTTTGTTTTTTTGTTTTTCTACGTCCTGACTGTATAGAGGCTTTCATGTAAGTCATCCGTCTGTGTACGTGGGGGTGTATGTGTTTTAAGGTTGAGGGTCTCCTCTCCTTTGTGTGAACCACCTGTAGATTTGTTCGCTCTGTATTTGTGTACAGCTCAGGGAGAATAGCTGCCATTTTTTTTTTCTTTTTGTTCTGTTTTCTTTTGATCTTGGTCTTGATTTTTCTCTTGTTACCACTTTTCTCTGTAACAGACAGAGGTTGTAAATAAACATTTTGAACGTAATTTACAAATCAGTGTCGCTGGTGCTTTGATGTGCGAGTGTGTTTGTGATGGACTATACAGTGCCAGGCAAAAGTTTGGGCACACCTGACTGAATGTATGCTTTTTTATAAACCATAAAGACATTTTTTTATGCTTAAATGGTTGAAATTTGCTATAAGACAACTTCAAATAGTAATGGAGTAACGTTACAGCATCAATATAGTAAATTTTATAAACATTTTCAACCAAATGAGTTCAAACTGAATTAGGTCAAATCATCATTTACAAGGTACTTTCTATTGGGAGGTGTCTTCCCAAACCATAAATTTCAAAATAATGCTTACTTTTAACTTTTAAAGATGTTTTTAAAGATATTTTTGATTACTTTAAAAGTGGAGTTAAAAGGTTTAGATTTATCATGTTTAATTTTTTCATTATACATATATGACATATATAAAATATTGAAAAAATGTTTTCAGGTCACTACCGAAACCCAGAGTTTTAGTCCATAGGCAGAGCCTTATTTTAGCCACGCCTCTGCATTTTAGAGCATCCCTGTCCCTCATGGCCACATGGTGAGAAGTAAGATCCCATTGTTGTCAAGTAAATGTGTCCCAAAGTCTGAAAATCAGAGTGAAACTTTAGGAATTGTAACCACCGAAAACACTTTTTTGCACATTTTTGTACACACATAATGGTTATGATTTTATGTGTGTACAACTGTTTAAAGCTGGGTTTGCTAGTCATGTACAACGTTTTTGAGTTCTGCTCAAAATGACCTAAAATTGTCATTACCGAAACACATTTTCTGCAATTACATACACTTTTAACTTAATTGTACACATAATCATAATGAGAAATATGTGTTTACAACTGTTCAAAGCTGTGTTGTCTAGTCATGTACTGGCTAGTGCTTTAGAGTTCTGATCAAAATGAGCCAAAATTGCCAGTACTGAAATATTTGGCAAAATTTCGGTAGTGTTATGATTGTTTTGTTAGTGACAAAATGGAATGTTCAGTCATTTATTTCAATAAAATAAACATAATTATGGTATAGGGTCAAAGCAAAAAGATTTAGATTTGGACAACTTATTTTCTAAAAGATAGCTAGCAGGCTCCTCCCCTCAGTGTTCGAATAGAAGCATTTCCTGAATGACTGACTGAAAAAAAGCAAAGTACAGAATATGGTACGTGAATGTCTTACACCCTTTAAATGTCAGTATTTTTGGTAGATCTGCCTCAGACAGTATTAAATACAGTGTGGGAAAACACATTTCTGGCACTATTAGCTTGATGCTAACACAAAACAGGATATCGCATTGAGTCGCTTGAAGAAAATAGCATTGTCATTGCGGTGGTCAATTGTTGAGCAAGTGAAAGATTCAGTATTAAACACTGCTACATTCTAATATTTTCAGCCCTATATGACAAAAAATGTAAAAGTTTGTGAAATGACTGCAGTTTGCAGTGACTGAAGACTGAAAGTTCTCGCCCTGCTTCAGTAGTCATTTAAGACCGTGCCTTACAGTGATTTTAGCGTAGGATAAGGGGGTTAGATACATGTAGGGCTTAAGAAACCCTCTGTTTCTTCTGAGCGTCTCTCATCTACCATCTTCATAGGAACGACTGTCAGTAATCAAAACGGGGCATCTTGGTGCAGCCTGTCAAAGTAAAGGTTGAATGACTCTGAATGGCACACCCTTTTCCTGAAGAGCTTTAAATCGTAGGTGTTGTGATTGTTGATGTTTATTTTTTTTGTGGTGCAGGTTTTGAGAAAGTTTTATTGGCTCACACACACACACACATATATATATATGTGTGTGTGTGTGTGTGTGTGTGTGTGTGTTTGTGTGTGTGTGTGTGTGTGTGTAGAATCAAGATATTTTTATCACAGAAAATATTGAAAAATGCTTTGGATCTTGAGCTTAGAATCCAAAATCATATTGAACCTTAATTTGTTACATTCCTGACAGGTAGTCAAGCTTGTGTGTGCATGTGCTGATATTCCATAATAAAATATACAACAGTGTTCAGCACACAATATCGTAATAATGAACACTGTCACTGCATTTTAGTTAAATAAGTTGCAGCTTCACTAGAGATTTTCTCGATGCTCAGAGCGGCTCTAGTTTCTATGCCGTCGCATTCAGGTCTCATGCTTTATTTGATCTTTGTACAGCTGTTTTGGTGGGTTATGGGTCTGAGCAGCCTCACAGCTCAATGTAAAGGTTGCAGCGCTAAACTTTCAAACTCTATGTGCTAGGTAGAGTACCAAGGGTCTACCACCCAGCCTGAAAAAAGGATCTAGAGGAGACCAAAGACGGAGACTGACATAAAAAAAAACAGGATTCAGAAATGCAACAGAAATGAATGAAGAGTGCTGTGCCGTTATATATATATATATATATATATATATATATATATATATATATATATATATACAAAAGCATCAGCAATTACTATTTAGAAAATGACATTCAGAACAGTAGAGTTGTGTGCAAAAGGTAGTCAAATTGCATGTTTTATTGAACTACTGATTAAGTGAAAAAATCCTCTGCACAGAAATGACATTTTAATGCAAACCTTTGTGCAACATTTCTATTTATTTGCTGAGATGAATATAATGGAAAAAAATTGATATACAATATAAAATGTGCCATAACTTTTGATCAGGCCCCTTTTTATGTTTTACTTTTTACCAAAACGTTAAATTCAGCAAACAGTAACTGTGCATTAAAATGTGAATGAGTGTCTTCTCTGTACACTCTTAAAAAAAGATGGTTCTTCAAAAGTTCTTTAGTAAAGAAAATGGTTCTATAAAGAACCATGAACACTCAAAAACCCTTTGCATGATCAAAGGAGACCAAAGACAAAGACTGTGTAGCACATATAGAGAGCCCTGTAGATAGTTTCTTAAAATGTTCATGGTTCTATATAGAATCTTGAAAGGGTTCCTTAGATTAAAGGAGAATTTATTGTCTACGGTCCCATACAGAACTTTTTTGAAGAGGGTTCTACACTCTTAAAAAAGGTGGTGCTACAACTTTTTTTTAGTTTGATCACCCTTTGCATGATCAAAGGGTTCTTTGCATCATAAAAGGGTTCTTCAGATTGATAGATGAATGTGTTGTCTATAGTTCTATATAGAACCTTTTTGAAAAGGGTTCTATATAGCACCAAAAAGTTTTCTTGTTACGTTGTCAAGTTAGTAACAATAGAAGAACCCATTTGGGTGCTATTTGGAATCCTTTTCAAAAAGGTTCTATATAGAACTGTCTATAGCATATTCATGCATGTTTTCCACCAATCTGAAGAACCCTTTCATCATGCAAAGAACCTTTAATCATGCAAAGGGTTTTTTTGAGTGTTCAGGTAGAACCCCTTTCTTTACTAAAGAACCCTCAAAATACCATCTATTGTAAGAGTGTATAAAGCACCAAAAAGGGTTCTTCTATTGTTACAAGCTTGACATCGTAACAATAGAAGAACCCTTTTCAAAAAGGTTCTACATAGAACCACCTACAGCACATTCTCCATAAATCTGAATAAACCCTTCATGATGCAGAGAACGCTTTGATCATGCAAAGTGTTCATTTTCTTCACTAAAGAACCCTTAAAGAACCATCTTTTTGAAGAGCGTAGAGGACGTGTTAATTTTCACTTCAACAAAATATGGAATTTCACCGGGGCGCTCAAACTTTTGCATATGCCTCTTTCTACACGTTTTCTCTCATAAATGCTGTTGTTTTTTTTTTTTTCTTAATACAACATCATGATCTCATACGAGGTGAGAAAAGATTTCATATTCATCACAATATTAAATGCAGGTGTATGAATTTCTTTCCAAAACATTGTGAAACGCCCCCCACAAGTAGGGTCTTCTTCAGCCCTGCTAGAAAAGCAGCTCAGGCCGCTCCTCAGAAGCTGCTTGAGAGAATACTAAGAGTGTGCAAAGCTCTGAGTCAAAGGTTCTATCATGAAGAACCTGACATTTCAGTTTTGTTGGTCACATAATTCCATGTGTAGCTTTGACCTCCTCACAATTATCCTCAAAACTTTGTAGGAAATGGGGTGAAAAATCTTCTGCGTGGTGCTGTTGATAGACTGCTTTCAGAGTTACAGCTACTGTGGGCTATTTTTCTGTTTCTTCTCCTCACTCTGTCTTTCAGGAAGCGCACACGTCTTTAAAACCCCTTTCAGTTTCACTTCCCTCGCAGCAACTCGTCTCATTTGATCGAGAGGTTTTAAAGCCGCGTGGTGCAACTTCCTGCAAAACACTGCGCACATATTTGAATGCACACTGTATTTAGTTGCACTAACCACATCTTGCCTTCCTGTCTTCCTAAACTCACCTCGAGCCTTGTAAACTTCCTCTCCAGAAGATGCATGCTGACATTTTCTTGCCTCACTTTCTCATAAACCATCTGACCGAAGGACTGGTGTGGGTACTGCTTCGGAAGGTTCTAGGCACCATTTCCACTCTATTCTACAGTTTAGACCAGTTGTAGTTGCAACAGGCCTTGAACCGTCTACTTGTATCATTAGCATGACACATTTGCACTGTTTTAGTGGTCTGGACGGGTCAGCGATGCAAGATAACGTTCAGAAAGCGGTGCAGTTGTTACACAGAATGAAAAATGGCTTCTAAATATATTTATTTAGATTGGAATTTAATGCAATTTCTTCAGAAAGTTTGAGTGGCTTGATCAGATGCATTCATTATAGGTAAGGGCGCAACATGGAAAGGTGTTTTTTCCAGTGGACAAAGTACTGGAACCAAACTGGATACTTTACTTTTTCAATTGGCCTGCATTCCAGTATCAAAGGTTCCAGTTTTATGATTTTTAATATCTGCACAAAGATTATGATACATTATGACAAAGATAATGTTACTCTCCTTTTTGCTAATACATGCAGCTGAAGCCAATAACTATTTCGCGAATTACTGACTCTTCTAGTGGGGATAAAGTCACCAAGCACTATTACATCAATATGTGCACTAGAATGTTACACTACATTGCCAAAAGTA